TTAATAAACCATTATCAGTTACATGATTGCGAGCATTCTTCTGTAGTGGATGGTTTTCGTTCTCTTGCGAAACAATTTACCACAGAAATTTTCACAACTGACGTGAAATTAAAAGCGGGGGCAGCTAAAGTGAACACTATTAATTTCTAGATTATTTAATAGCATGGATTGGCTTACATTTTGCTTTGTTTGCGATGGAACTTTTCGGTGGTGATTTAAACCTGAGACCTTCACGGTATTCTGCTAATGCAGAGAAACAGAATTTTCGGAAATTAGGAAAGCGGAAAGAGTTTGCTGTGTTAGTCATAGTCTGGTTTTCATACTCGATCTGCAGTCTGCAGTCTGCGTAAATAACTAATAAATAACTGCGCCAACTAACAATAAACTAGGCGGAAGTACTGTCTTCTGATCTATGAAAATAACACAGCTCTAAACGATAATTGTGCATATAATTTTCGACTTGATTCAAGTTAACTATAATCTGTAAAATAGTGTGGAATTGCTGTATGAATATATCTATGTAGCAAATTTTTCAAAAATGAACACACATTGGATGCTGACTGAGCTATGACACCTACGCCAATGCTATTAAGTTCAATATACCTGGACCCGTTCTAGTACCGGGATTGGTCAAAGCTCGTGATAACAATGAATTTTTTAGCGAAGAACCTGTGAAATGACTTACCTCGTAGCCTAAATTCAATTTCCACCTAGAGCTCTAGTTCTAATCCGTTGAGCAGCTGACGAGGAAGTGAGGGACTTCAGCACCAGCAGAAAATCGATTAGCAGATTTGAGAGTTCGTTGGAGTGACTCATATGATTCCAAATTCTTGGTAACACGCACTCTTTGATGCAACAGCTGTTTATGCTTTGTACGTATTGTGCAAATAAATGGTTTTCGATGGCTTTGCATACGCTACTAACGTACAAGGATACGACCTCCACAAAGTCCTGCGAGATGCGACACCGTACGAAGTACAGATCATTCAGCTGAGCCTAATCTACCAATCACATCAGTTCTTTTATCTCATTAAAAACAAAGGCGTAGCCAGGCTAAAAAAAAGAAATACGTGTGTCGCATTTGGCGTCAGATCGGGGACAAAATTGATACTCACATTTCGTCGCCCCCACGTATTGTCTAAACCATTTGTATAGTCCGTCTGCGAAGCTCGTTCTGTTATCCAGCAGAGTCGCAAGAATATTTGTGAGCGTTTCTGATAGGCGGGTTTCTTACAAGTTGGTTACACTATACGCTCCTCACGATTGGCGCAATTCTTACGTGTGCGTGACGGTTGGGCGCACTGACATGTTAACATTCACAGAAGGAAGTTGGCAAGGAGCGTTTACAGTAAACATTGAAAGAGCAGTTTGAACTTTAAAGCCTTCTTCTAAACAAAAAATTGCTTTGAGAGAATTCCTTCAAGGCCAGAATTTGTTTGTAAATTTGTCGACTGGTCTTCCATTGTCTTCCAATTGTTGTAGATGCAGTGCGTATTCTGCAATCTAGCCGACAGTTCTAGCGTCAAAACGAATCAGGAAATCATGATATTATTTACGGACAAAAACTGGTCCAGACATTTCGGAGAAAACCAAAGAAACTAAGGTTATTTAGCAGCAATAAAAAGCTTAAGGCTTTAAGAGAGGTAAAAGAAAAACCATTCAATGGTAAACTGCAGACTTAGCAGCAATAAAAAGCTTAACAGAGTATCTCTGTAAGAGCGGTCCGGTCGATTCTGCTGGAGACACAGGTTTAGCTCATTTCTTGCGTGTTGTAAGACATTCATGTAACTATATTAAAACCACAATCCGTTTGATCGGATCTCTTTATTTTTCAGAGTTTTGCGGAAATTAAATTTCATTTGAGCGAAGGCCTGTCGTGACACTTTTTAAGATTTTAATTTGAGACAACTTTGGAGGACAATTTACAAAAACTATGGGACTCAGCAAAAAACAAATACCACAGCCATGTATATTAACTCTATCTTATCCATCGAGGTGACTTCCGTTCAGATCACGTTTCAATCAAGTAAACAGGAAGACTTGAATGACACCTTATCGGTTCGCTTAAGTCACACACGCGAAAACCGATCAAATTCAAGCTAAATTTTTGAAAAAGTGAGGCGTTCTTAACTGATCCAACTAACATGGCTAGGAAGAAGGTGCCATAGAAAAGGTAACTACAGAAAAAACTTTGCGGCCCGTTAAAACTTTATAACTCCGTGAACTTACCTAATTTTCGGCAATCTCCAAGTTTGGCCGCCATTTTGAGGGATTTGTCAACATGAAGCACAACAGATATAAATCGAGCAGGTAGATCTTTAACCGTCAGAAATACATACGAAAGCATTCAAATGAACTTTACTTTCAATTCAAGCGGCAAAGTTTGAAATTGTTCGTTAAACTTGCCACTCCTACATCCCCAGGCCATGCGACTATTTCTTCCAACAATTTAAACACTATATGCAACTAGTGTTCGAATTCTCATTGTCGATTCCCCCGTAAGAAATAACCTGTGCCACCCAAGCTTCGACTCGAATGTGAAGTACGAATCAAATAACATAACTGCTTCATCTTCGAGGGAATATCACGCTGGTATTTTGATTTTTTGATCCATAAGGACGGTGATTAGTGATCGCCATGTTTACCTCATAAACGTGACCGCTGACCAGCCGCTGAGTGAAAACAGTAGGGCACGGGTTCGGGTGGGTGGCGGGCTTATGGTTATAAGATGTTCGAATACAAACGCTAAAAATTGTACATTGTTAGTTTTATTAACACCGTACGTAAATGACATTGGTTACTGTTACNCAGATATAAATCGAGCAGGTAGATCTTTAACCGTCAGAAATACATACGAAAGCATTCAAATGAACTTTACTTTCAATTCAAGCGGCAAAGTTTGAAATTGTTCGTTAAACTTGCCACTCCTACATCCCCAGGCCATGCGACTATTTCTTCCAACAATTTAAACACTATATGCAACTAGTGTTCGAATTCTCATTGTCGATTCCCCCGTAAGAAATAACCTGTGCCACCCAAGCTTCGACTCGAATGTGAAGTACGAATCAAATAACATAACTGCTTCATCTTCGAGGGAATATCACGCTGGTATTTTGATTTTTTGATCCATAAGGACGGTGATTAGTGATCGCCATGTTTACCTCATAAACGTGACCGCTGACCAGCCGCTGAGTGAAAACAGTAGGGCACGGGTTCGGGTGGGTGGCGGGCTTATGGTTATAAGATGTTCGAATACAAACGCTAAAAATTGTACATTGTTAGTTTTATTAACACCGTACGTAAATGACATTGGTTACTGTTACGGAAATCATATTTTACAGTCAGTTTTGTATAAAGCAATGATTTTGTATAAATTCTTGGGAACAGCAAAAATGACTTAGAACAAACATTCTAGATCTAAGTATAGTGTTCATTCCGTGCAATGGGGCATAAATAAAAGGTTCTGGAAGAAAAGGCACCTTATTTCATTCCACTGATGACATACAAGCAAAAAGGTCATATGGGTACCACGGTTCTATTAATTAATACCAGTCTAATTTAAAGGAAAACGTTTATGAGAATAAAATAAAAGTTGTCTGTACAACGAAGTATGCCTTCACTGTTTAATTTAGACTGAGAGTCCCAAAGCTTTTTTAGCACACAAAAAAACAGTTTACGTGTAAAAACCTTTGTGTTTTTCATATCGTTACATACTTATAAAAAATTGTAGAGGGTAACTGAAAATGAAAAAGGAAAGGTGTCCTGCATAGCAGACTTTCAAATTTCCTTTTAGCCAACAGGGAGTCGTGAAGAGGCATGGGGCAAAAGCAACCAAAAAATTAGGAGCAGAGGGAGGAGCTTATTTAGCCGGCCTTTTCCATGTTTTTGCAGTATACAATGCAATAAGCGTGGTATACCAAAGAATCGGTTTACTTAGAAAACTCTTTGTCGTTGTCGTATGAAAAAAATGTACAGGAAAATTGCAAATGAAAAGAACAGGGTTTAGTGTTAAAAGGTTAGATTGAATCAAGGCATGAGCTAAAACTAACATAGTTCACTTGACAATTGTATGTCGGGCTTATAAGTGAAAAACCACACTAAATAAATACATATACTTTCTTCTGGCAAAATGGTGGCTAAGAACGGCTGAATATATACCTACTTGAAAATAAAATGATGCTGTTTGGTTTCGCGTTAAAACATTACGTAAGAATGACGATTGTCTGTTCAAATTGTGACAAAACCACGTCACACAGTCAAAGCAAAGCAGAAAAAAGTGTAATTTTCGTAACCAACTGACAATCTCTGCATTATAGACATCAACAAGGACCATTGCGTTACTGCTTGATGGTGTAATTATCCATCCACTGAGCACTGGCATTCATGGGTAATTTCCTTTATTTTTGACATTAGAACAGCTTTGGAATCTCTAGATTTAAATGGGAGCTCAAAGAAAGTGCAGATTTCCTTAAGCATTTAAACAGTAAAATAGTTCAATTTTTCGTTCTTGACGTAGTCACAGAAGTCATAAATGTCATAGACAATCGGATGCGTTAAGCCAATTTCTGTTACAACTGATTCGACGGTGGTCATGTGACTCACTTCTTCCTCGTCAATTAATTCCTCTTCAGATTTTTCTTCAACCGCGGTGCTCGGAGACGGACCTGCCCGTCTCCTTCTCGAGGAGGACAAACGGGAGAAAAATCCTTGTATTTGGCCTTTGGTTAGCCACTCTTCCCGGGAAAACAGGCGCCCCCCGTTTTCCCCCTTCGCTTTCCTCATATCTTGCGAGACTTGACCCGGATCCTGTTTCCTACCAGATTGTTCACCAACTTCAAACTTTCCTTTCGTACTTTACTTTCTCTGAGAAGCGAACAGCGCCACCTTTTGGCTGATGAAGTGCCCATCCTTCACTTAAATTCGACTGGAAAGGTTCGCTACCCCGTCTCTCGATAACATTGGTACTGTCGCCTTCTGAAAGGGTAAGGGATGAGAAATTTTCATCCTAGCCTCGTTTGAGTGTCGTACATACTCTCTGTATGTTGTCCAACAGATAAGTACTTCTCCATTTCTTCGACAGATCTGAATGTCCTAGCACATGCTGGTTCTGGGCATTCCAACACTAGCCCCAATTCACTGCTGCTTTGTGCTTCACCACTGTTATGCGCGCTTCCATGCGTTACTCTCGGAGTGAAGCCAAAATTCTCCTGTTCTGTTATAAGATCGGTGGCGCTTTGATGCTTAATGTAAATTTCATCCCACGGATTGAGTTTGCCAGGGCCAACTTGGAATGCCTTCCACACTCTGAGACCGTCTTGTGATATGAAAAGTCGTGCATGGCACTAAAGTGCTGGAGTTTCTTGATATCTAAACCTTTCTTGGTTTCATTTACGCGGCATACAGCTTCGATACAGCCTTGAACTGGACTTTCTTTGAGCGCCGTGTGCATATCACTAGCAGTGAGAACGTCGTGGCCCTCGTTGCAGTATCTCCTTATAGCGCCTTTCAAGGGCCATAGTATCCTGTCACATACGTCTCAGTTTCCAGACTGTGGTTCAGAAAAGTCGTATCTCTGAAGTGACACACCTACACGCTCTCCAACATCACGGGCGGCAACAATAAGCTGGCTATTGTGGTAACAGCCGGCCTCATCTGATTTTAGATAAGCCTTCTTTACCTTTGGATTTGAGGAGCGAACGGTGATTAGGAGACTCTCCAAGATGGACAGGACAGAGAACCAATCCTGTGAACAGCTGTTGAATAGGTGGTTGTAGAAGGAAACGAAAAAAATTTCCCTTTCCATCACTCGTGATAGCACAGCTAACGTGCCAGTTCATTCCCCTCTTAGCATACCAATCGCCAATCAACCGCTGTAAGAACTTCATTGCGCGATTCATCACTATAAACACTGAATCGTCTGTCAGGTTTTGTATGAAGCTTTGTTTTGCGATCTCTTGGTTTTCACATCGGAGAATTAGGCATTTCCATTCGTTGATGAAGTTGAGGGACTTTCCCAAGTCATACAGAAGATTATCACGTTGTTCTTTGGAGTACATCGAAGAGGAAAGCTCATTGATTTTTCCCTCCACGGATTGAAGAACAGTCTTCAGTTCCTCGCAACTGTCACACTTTGATAAATGGTCGTGCAAGCACTGTTGTTTGAAGTCTTCATCAACGGGATCACTAAGAGCGAACTTCCTGCAGTGATCTGCACAACGGCTGTCTTCTTCGTCGCGACAATGAATTTTAGGTAGCACTTCGCCTTCTTTAGGCAGTTCCTAACATCTGAACACCTATCCTTGTTCACTCCGTACTCTTCTTCAAGTTCTTTAACAATTCGGGTGATTCTTTGTACCTTCGGCACCGTCAGCGGATACATTGTCCAGTCCTTGCCAAGACTTACGCTGAGACGCTTCCCTCACGTTAAGGACGCGGTACATCGTTGCACGACTTAGTGGTTGAAGGCCGTCGTCTTCACAAAATGCCAAATACTGCGCAAAAATTGTAGACCTAGTGACGGTACGGATGACGATAGGCATCGCTAAACGCTCGCCACTCTCTAGTTTGAGGGACCGTTGACCATAAGCAACATTTTGGTAGAAATAAGGTCGGTCAACGAAGGTGAGAAAGTCATCTAGTGTCACTATGTCTATGCGCACACGATGACTAATGGCTTTCTTTAATAGCACTCCTGGACCATTAATCTTCGCTTGATGTCTCGCTTTCTTTATCTGCCGATCACTTAGCTTCTTAAAAGGCTCGTGAAGTTTCTTTAGCTCTTCAGTCGAGTAATTCATAACATACAGGATGAGAATTTCAATTTTTAGATTCTTTTTCGGTTAAGTATGTCGTGTGAACTCTGTTTCTCTGTTGCCGTTACCAGGGCCTCGTAGAGCTTATCCGGATCATTTGGAGCGATTACACCGCATACCAACCGACAAGACATCTCGGCTGTTTTGAGGCAATTTTCTTTCTCATTAGACGTTGCAACTTCCCATCGTTTCGTTAACGGGGCCTTCAGTGGCTGGAATTTTCTTTGGGATATTTTCTCCATGGTTTTGTTGAACATTTTGAAGTTTTCGTGCTGAGATTCGGAGCAAACCCTCTCCGCTGACCATTGACCTGGGGTCCACGACAAATCCCGAAGTTTATGAGGTGTGTCCCGAATGTCATGAAAACAACCACTGGGAAAATGCATGGCACACAAGCCTTCTCTGTTAAAAACAATACAGGTGTGGTTAGACAACAACGGTGTTGAAGGAGGCTCGAAAGGGTTTTACGTTACCGTATGTTTGTGAAACGACGAAAGGTTACAAGAAAAAAGCTTTGATCGTGTGGGCAAACTATAAAAATCTTTGCAACTCTATTATTGGGCAATACTTTAAGGGTACTTGTGACGTCATGTCGGTTACCATGGCAACACGTAAGATCAACAAACAGACACTCAAAATTTCAGTTTTTGTAAATTA